TAAGTTTTCTGCAGTTTGATGTAGCATTTCTTATTTCTGACTAGTACTAGTACAATGATTTGGCTCTTTTTCTCTCAACGTAAGGTTCCAGTGCTGGAAAACGATATTCACCCCAGTTTGTAAAGGCTGCCAAGTTACTCCATTGGAATGGTCACTTTAAGCCATGGGGAAGAACTGCTTCCTATTCTGATGTCTGGGAAAAATGGTATATTCCAGACCCGACAGGCAAATTCAGCTTGATCCGAAGACATATGGAGATCTCAATATAAAACAAAACATAATTTATACTATAAGCATTTCTCAGGAAATCCTGGAAGACAGTATGTGTGGGAAGTAACAGTTGCAAGGCTTCAAAGCCTATCTATCTGCAGCAGCCCATGGAAAAAGGGACATTTCAGCTGGGTAAAGAGGACAAACTATCCCAGCTAGCAGTCAGCTTCCCAGACAGACTATAAATGTCTCCATCTGCCTTACCAAGTGTTTGCTTACAACCGTGCTGAATGACCAGAGGTAAACGGACTGACAGGGATGGTACAGCTAGTTCAACACTGCTGCTTGGTTTTAATTTTGTGACCTTAACCTGTGGTCTGATCTGTTAATAAAGTGAAACCTACATTTTTCAATAGGTATCTGATTTTTTGCTTCCAGATAATTAACTATACTTCTATTCACTCATCATGTAAGAGAGGAGTGGTCTTCTTCTAGAACTTAGACACTTTCTACATTGCCTTATTTTTTAAAATGAATATATGATACATACTTACAAAATTTACAGTTTACATCATATTGTAACAAACTGGTACATAACACACAACAGCTTAGCAGTCTGTTCAAAATGTTAAGAAGCCACCTTATAAAAGGACAAGGTTCTGTTATACATAGTCTGTGCTGAAGTCATAAGCATCATCTTCCTCTTCAGTCATTTTATCTGACATGTAAGATGGTGCGGACTCATCTATATTGGAGGAAAGAAAAGAGGTTTAAAAAAAAAAAAGGCAATTCCATACCATGCTGCTTTGTTAGTAAATCCCTCCACCCAAGTTGCCCCACCTGCTTGAGACTCCTCAGGCAGTGCCTCCCAGGCCTCTTCTGCCCCAGACATGTCTAAGCTCTTTTCCTGTGGGACAAAGAGAAATGGTACAAGATTAGTAGCCCTTGTCTGTTCATTAATCCAAGGAATTGCATATCTGGAAAAAGACTCTGAAGTTACACAAAATTAAGACTAATGATTGCAAGCCTTAAATACTTAAATCTTAAGGAGTTTTTTTTGTAATATGTTATGAACTGTTTAATTTTTCCCTTTGGCCCCTTCCCATTTGTTAGACATTATAATGCTAGAAAACTTACTTCAGCTTAAGTAACTCATGCAACACTTACACCAGCTGCTGCTTCAACACTTTCCTGGTCACTGTCAAGGTCATTGTAGTTCTCCCCCTCCTCCTGCTGCTTCTCTTTCTGTTTTGGCAGTTCTTCAGGTATGTCCTTTTCCTCAATTATTCCATTTGTCAGACCCGAAGACTGGAAAAGGATGCTGCTGGCTAAACGAGGGCCCCTGATAGCTAGGGAAGGAACACAGTGCTCATGTAAACAGAGGAGACCTTTTATTTGCCTGTCAGCTAATGAAGACTGCAAACACAAGACTTGCTTACTACGTATGCTGTGTGCATTGTTCTTTTCCAGTTCTTCCAGATTAAGGCCCTGTTTCATCTTTGTCACAATGCCCTCATTAAAATGTGGAGGAGTCCAGGATGTAGGGGGATGGCAATAGTAACCTAAGGAAGCACTGGTATTAAAAACAAGATTTGTCAAAAATCAGTTCCTTCATTCCATGTGATCCTCAAAATGCCACGAGAAAGAAGTGTTACCCTGTCCACTCCGACCACATCAGTTTGGCAGCACCTTCTAAATTTGGACTTCCACCTTTTTGGTGCAATCCTCTTCTCTGAGCAAATGATGTAAAAAACTCCACAGGATTCTTAAAGTCTGGAACAGTAAATTTCAGTACTACCTTCAAAAAAAGAAAAACCAAAAAGGTCATTCATGTGATATAGTGTAAAAAAACAAAACAAAACAAACCTTGAAAATCTTCTACTTAAAATGCTTATGATGAAAGAGAAGACAGAACTCAAGGGAAGGGGGTTCTTCTACCTGTCGAGCATCAGCCTGGGACAAGATGGCACTTGCAGCCTCCACTGGTTTCACCACCTCAATACTTGCTGGACTTCTCAGAGCAAGTGTGCTGGCAGAGTTAAGTGGAGACACAATAAAACCTGGACTGTCTAGGACTGTGATTTGTTTGTCCAGGGGGACAACCTGCATGCACCTGGAACAAGAGGGATGGTAACTGATAGGAGCACTGGTTTACCTGAAGGATGAGAGACAACACGAAGCTCAGGGTTGGATTGAACAAACTCAGCACAGTCTGTCAGATCCAGTTTATCATCATTTGCTTCATGTTCATCTGAAACTCTAACAGTGTTCCTCCCCTACTAAAGAGAAACACTACATGTTAGAGCTTATGTGTTGCCCTAAACACATGCTATTTCCTCTGCCATGAAAATTTCCCCTCCAGCTGGCTTTTTTTTTTTTTTAAGATTTTTTATTTATTTATTTGACAAAGAGACATAGCAAGAGAGGGAACACAAGCAAGGGGAGTGGCAGAAGGAGGGAGAGAAGCAGGCTTTCCACGGAGCAGGGAGCCCGATGTGGGGCTCGATCCCAGGACCCTGAGATCATGACCCGAGCAGAATGCAGACGCTTAACCATCTGAGCCACCCAAGTGCCCCCACCTGGCTGACTTCAATTCAGAATTGGGTTCAAGCATCCCTTCTGAGGCAGCTTCCCCTTCTCTCAATCTATTTGCTTGTCTTTCAAACTAGATGTGAGCTATTCCACTCTAATCAATTCTTCCCTAAGTCTAGCACTGACTTAACCCTGTTCCTTTCACTGACACCTCTAAAGTAAAAATAGAAAATGGTCTTCCTTAAGCTATCCAAAACAAAATAATTATTTACTCATTTATAATGAAATATCACAATTATGGAAGAACTCACTTTACCTTGTAAGCCCCATGGATACACCAACATTACATATCCGTTCTTGTTTTAAACTATTGATGATGCTGCTTTTCCCCACATTTGGGAAACCTACAAATGGGAAATCCACAGAACAAAAGGCATTATGTATTGGTAATTATAAAATTTCCACTGCCTTAGGCTTGCCTGATGTTTGCAGCAAGATCAGAGTTGGATCTGAGTGTCTTCACTTCAACACTAAGACCAATCTTAGCATCTTCATTTCTTGCACAAGTAATCAAAGAGCAGGAAAAGATTATTAATTCAGATAAACCAGGAACTTTCAGAAGTCAACTTCCTACAGTGCAGAGTACTGAAATAGGCAGCAATTAAAATTTTTGTGTTTGATGAAGTGGGCAAGAAGCTAATGTTTGAATAAGCCCTTTATTGAGCACCAACCCAAGACACTGTTAACATGAATAAAACCTTGGCACTTAAGAGAGAAGACAAAGTGTGTTGAACTGAAACTCACCAATTACTCCAACCTGAATGGCTTTGCCATAAGCCTCCTGAAAACCTCTGAGAAGCTTCCAAAGGCCGTCTTTCCCAACACAGACTTCGCTTTTGCATGGAGCTCTCTTCCTTACCTTCAAATGCTAAAATTCCATATAATCAGTTTAACTACTTCTGATAACCCACCCGATAAAACCCAAGCAATCTGGCTCTAGAGCCCAGCTATTAAAATCACACTATTATCTTTCAGATTATCTCTGGATGAAATCAGAGTTGGATCTTTGAGTTCTCATTTTTTAATCAAGATCTTATAAACTCATCATATTTCAGCCATCCAAAATCTGAAAGAACCATACTTCCCACCACTGACTGAAAGAGTACCTTGATTATCTTGCCCTTGTCCTTCAGATTTGTTGAGGCTCTGAACACCACTGTTGGTAATTCCTTCTTCAAATAATTTAGCCAGTTCTCCAAATTCTCCTTTGGTACCAAATCTAATAGGGATTAGGAACAAGACACATGTCACTTTGTTGACATGAATATGCACTATCTGATAAACTTTGGATTTTACTCTGGTTTGCCTCTTCAGTTTTTTCAAAAGGATTTAAATGGAAGATGGGAAGAGGGTAAGCTCCCTACCATGCTGCCCTTATCTTAACAGTTCAGTATCTACACCTCAGTATCTCTTCAATTCCCTTCTGCACGGCTCACCCTTTCAGAATTAAGTCAACCTGTAGATTATGACCCTACAAGCTTAACTCTAGAGCTGTGTTTCCAAAATCAGCTATGTTACCTGAGAGTTACCAACAGTAACTGAATGCCATTCTTACTTTCTGCTTCACAAGTCTCTATTCTGGGTTTTCCTGGCCCTGATGCTCAAACCAGTGCTTCCTAAGTGCACTTCATATAAATATTGTCATATATAGACTTTATGCAGATACGGGGAATATGGCAAACTACCATCACTTCCTATGTGCAATATATTGCACAGTAAGCTAAGTAGAGAACCTTACACTCTTAAATAATACAAGATGGTAAGTACTGAATGGCAAAAGAACAGTAGAAACCTGCTAATCACTTACAGAAAATACCTCCATCCCATTGCCCAGCACTGTCTTTGGCAACAAGACCATATGCACTGGCTTTACTGAGGTCAGAGTTGGATCTTATCAGTCTTCAGTGAAAATCAGACTGCTCACATATTTTCCTCATACCTCACTAGTGCATATGGAACATAAAAGGCATCCCTTTGCTCACCTGATTTATTTAATACAAGTATCAGCTTCTTCTGTCCATCCTGGGTAATGGACTCTTCTACCTGGGGACACCTGCAACCAAGTGGATCTCTGGCATCCAGCACCTCCAGCACAACATCTGAGGCTTCAATCACCTGTCAAGGCAGAAACTATCAGAGGAGCATCGCTTGCTCTGACAACACCCTCCATACAAGTATACTGACATTTTCCACTTTGCAGCAGGGTGAGCTCAGAGTTGGATCTTACGTCTTCACCTTGGCATGAAGAATGTTCACATGTTCATCATTTCTCACAGGAAAGTAAAATATAGGTTTGCTTGGAAGCCTCTGGTCTCCCATCAAAGTGGATTTCAAAAGTGGAAATACCTCCACTGTCTGAATCTATAACCCTCCAATAGTGAATTACATAGTTTGACAGGCCCCCCCTGGCCCTGCCAAGAGCTGCTGAGCAGCAGTCATGTTCTATTCAGAGGGGAGTGAGCCTGGGAAAACGGGTATTGGGGATGGGAGTTCTGGGGAGCAACTATGCCAAGACACTCCCTTGACTTCACTTAGGTTTCAACAGAGTATTGTTTCCACACTACTTGCTCTAATGTATTTTCCTCTATTTTAAAAAACCACTATCAACGTAAATGAAGCTTATAGGGAACTGTTCCTGTGCAAAAATTTTAAACCTTAAGAATATTTCAGTTAAACAGAAAAGGCCCTAAGTAGAATAAGCCACAATAAAGAAATAAAAATAAAAACTAAAAAGCGGAATAAGTCAACTTGCTAAAGGATTCATCTAGCTCAAGTGAACTCCACTTCCACATTTACAGGGTTGGTGTCAAAAAAGAACTCTAGCCTTTTCAACCTCATTACCATTTTTAGACACTGACCTAGACTAAAATACCTTTTTAAGTTCCTGACAATACAACTTCTTCGGATTCTGTTTGCCCGACTTGGGTTTGTCCTTAGCTTTGCCCTGCCCAAATTCCTGCAAGATAAAGACAAGGGAAAAAGGACACAAAATTAGCACTTTAGGTGCAACCTGATTCTCCATATTTCTATTAGTAAAAGAGAGTTGGAACTCTCCGTCCAAGAGGCACAGCAGCCCCTGCCCCGGGTATGTGTTTTTACATCTACGTCAGAACCCTCATTCACAAAGATACTTAATCCTACCTTCTTCACAGGTTCCAAGTTAGACGGCTTAACACCAGGGTTAGTTTCAAGTTTTCTTTTCTTTTCCTGTTCCTTCTGCCTGTCAAGTTTCTGCTGCTGTTTTAGTTCTTCAAGCTGTGTCCAAGCCGTAAGAGAAATGGGTGAGCCAAAGCAATCTGGTGTTATTTTACTTTGAAAAGCTACACATACCCACACATCACTTGTTCAAAGTTTGAGTTAACATCTTACCCGCTGTTTCCTTAGCTCAGCTTCCCGAAGAAGAGCTTCTTTAAAGGGAGCACTGTTTGGAACTCCTGGGTCTTTTCTAGGCTTTTTGCGACCCCGTTTTTTAGCCTCCTTCCTCAATTTTCGATGGTGCTCTCGAACCTATTATGATAAAAATTCTTGTGAGTACCTGGCTAAAATTGGTTATACGTATAAGATAACCTAGGAAAGTTAACTTGTAACCATATAGAAAGCATACATATTTATGTATAAAACGGCAAAAAAAAATGTCATCAGGAGACTCTTTGCAGACATTAACATGTTGATCAGAGTTTATAGACTTATCACCAAATTACTGCACTTTCCCACAGCTATACTCCTGATGTCTAAGAACTTGTGCCCACGGACAGTCTATTTAACCTCAATTTCATGAGGTGAAATCCTATTAATCCAAAGCTCCCAGTGGAGGAGAGGTGGCGCAGAAATCAGTTTTGCATTATTTTAATATAGCTCTTCCAAGCAGAGCACTTACCTTTTTTTGGATTTTATACCGCTTATGGCAGGTCATGCGTTTACTTGCTTTCTTCAACTCTACAAAAAAACCCATCGCAAAACAATTAGACACAAGGGATCCATTTGTTTAGTTTTTAGTGACTGCTCGGGGGTCACGTCCCTTTTCCCATTTAGCAATTAACTCTCAAGCCTAATTTAAGAATCATATATGGTGGATAATAAATGTAGGCCATTCTAAAACCTCGGGACAATTTGACACAGTATATCCGGAGCAGAGCCCAGCTTCCTTACGCCCCCTCTTCCCAGAGTAGACTGAAATCGCACACAGGAGCATGAGACCCAAAACGGCAGGCACTTCTTGTCACACACCGTGAATCACAAGTTAGGACCTGACAGTGGATTTCAGAGGCAGCACTCAAGACCTCGCTAGGGCCAGACTGAACGTGGGCCAAGGGAGGAAAACGCTGGGCCCGCAACCTGGCTCAGACACTGTTTACGCAGGAGGCCCAGGCTTCATCTTCACTTTTTTTTTTCTTTGAAGATTTTATTTATTTAGGCGCCTGGGTGGCTCAGTTGGTTAAGCGTCTGCCTTTGGCTCAGGTCATGGTCCCAGGGTGCTGGGATGGAGTCCTGCATGGGGCTCCTTGCTCAGCGGGGAACCTGCTTCTCCCTCTCCCTGCTTGTACTCTGTCAAAGACTCCCTCCGTCTCTTTTTTTTTTTTTTTTAAAGACTATTTGACACAGAACAAGGGGAAGGGCAGAGGCAGAGTGAGAAACAGACTCTCCGCTGAGCAAGGAGTCCACGCAGAGCTAAATACCAGGACCCCGGGATCATGACCTGAGCCGAAGGCAGCCGCTTTACCGACTGAACCACCCAAGCGCCCCAGTGAAATTCACTTTTGTTTTCCTTTCGTAAAACAGGCCGGCGGTCAGCGTGGGGCCTTCCAACCCTCGCTTCTACTGGGGACCAGCGCGACGGCCTACCCACAGGCTCCCCCACTCCCACATAAGAGCGCCCCGGTGGTTCGTCAACCATTAGAGACAAAGGTCCCTCCACACCCGCTCCCCAACCCCACTCACTCGGTCGCTTCATACTGGTAGTGGCAAGGGCAGTGCCGGCAGTGAGTGTAAGGGCAGCAGCAACAACAACGTGCCTCCACCACAGCCACGTGTAAATTGCGGCCAAGCTCGAGCGTCACGCACTGACGCTACCGCCGTAAAGAGCGCCGCCGTCCGTTCGCGTGCGCGCGCACGCAGTGTCGTGCGGAGCCGGGTTCGCTTGGCGGCCGCGGGACTGGTTTTGCGGCGGCACCGGGAGGGGTGAGGGCGGTGAGGGCGGCGGGTGCTGGAGAGACGGCAGCGGCCACAGCCGGAGGAGCAATAGCAGCAGCCGTGGCGGCCACGGGGCGGGGCGCGGCGGTCGGCGACCGCG